GATGATGATAGACGACAATGGGAGGGCGATGATGGAGGCCGATGAGGGGGAGGGCGACAATGGGAGGACGACGATGGAAGGACGAGGGGGGGAGAGGGAGGACGGGGAAGAAGAGGAAGAGGAGGAGGACGAGGTGGATGAGGGGGATGACGACGACGACGAGGACGAGGACGAGGGCGTGGAAGAGGAGGAGGAGGAGGAGGAGGAGAGCGCCATTGACAGGGAAGGCGGGGGCCACGAGGTCCGCCGGCTCGACGACGCCCGCGTCGCCCGCGCCCGCCCCCTCCACTCTTATCCGCAATTGCGGGGTGCTACGCACTTATCGGCGTTTCGTCTTTCGACTATGCGTGTCTTTATCCAGCCGATAGAATTAGCACGGCAAACAATCTGCCTCCCAGGAGATAGATCCATATCTCTCGTGACAACGTAATCGGGGTCGGCCGGGGTATCCGTCTCACACGCAACGTCCGCAATACCCGAGTCGCTTGACTCGCCGCCTTCACGGGAAGCGCCCGTAGGATCAACTTCTTCAGCCATTTCAACATCTTCATCGTCACCAGCTTATTGTTGGCTTTATTCATCTGGTTTTCGATCAGCAGGTTTCCCCGCATGCCACTCGCGATTGAACTTAGCCAAATAGTGAGTACGCATCAAGTTCTGCCAAACGAGGCTTGACTGAGCAATCTCCCCCGCGGTGGCGGGGTCGCACACTGTCTCCGTCAGCTGCTCAAGATATGGCGTAGTGTTGGGATCAGTACATGGACCCCGACCATCTCCATGAGGCCATACCAACGGTGTTCTTTTGAAATTCGGGCTTCTTGATGGGCGGCTCATGGGGCAGCCGAGCCTGCGATCAGCGCAACTGGGGCATGTACAGCAAACGCCTCTGCAGAGCTTTCGGTCCTCGATGATGGCCCTTTAAGGATCGCGAGTGACAATCGTTTCTTGCGATTTGGTAGGTCCCGCCTCTGAACGCACGATATTGCCTGCATCATCTCGTCTGAATTGACGAAGAGAATACCAGCGCCAGATTTGATGCTCATTCCAACCCCTCTCCAACCAGTACTCCATCTGGTTTGCGGGTATGTGCTGACGAGCCAATCCAGCTTCAGCGTGGCCTTTCAAACGCCGCATGTCACCTTCTGGATATTCTCCTCCTCGACGTTGGTCATCTCGAGGCGGGTTTCCCCGTAGACGATCCCACCTTGGGGGGGTATGTGCTCTAGTCGCCTGCCATGGCGGGCCCCTTGTGGCTCCCGCATCAGGGGGATGAGGGCGCTGACCACCGCTCGAACGAGCATCGCTAGAGAGGGCTCGCGCACGATCTGGCGAGGGACCGGGAGCCCGACCGCGACGGATCACGCGGTCATCGTCTCCCCCCCCCGCCCTCCTCGCCCATTGGGTAGAGACTTGGATCGTCATGATATCTCTCCCTTATCAAAGGTAGGCGGCTTGGCGATCGTCTCGGGCTGCTGGCAGACCGATCTGACGCAACGGAAGTACACTGAAATTCTTCATTATGCCCAAGCTCATCTTGAATGCGCTCAGATAGATCATCATCGTCGCGCGAATTCTCCCGCAGTGGATCATCATCGATGAATTCCGCGTTTGTCGGACTTCCAATCACCCGAGGATAAAGCATTGCATGCGTTTCCTCATCTGTTGCAGGAATGTAGAATCTGAGTCCGCGGGTGCCCCCGCCATGCCACAATCGCCTTCGACGGGCACGTGGAAGTTGTCGACAAACTCAATATCTGCAGGTTGCCCCGCGATGGGTGCACCCAGCCATTCTGCCAAGTCGATATCGCCGTGGCCAGCGAACACCTCCTCGAACAGCTCGTCGGCGTAATGCTCGAGGGGCATGCTGGCACTTAGATACCTGGCAGCCAGGAAATGAACAATTGTGGCTGAGCCGTCGGCAGGGTCGGCTAAAAGCGCCCCCCAATCAACAAACTGCATGTCGGAGTCCGTTTGAGCCAGATGTATTGACGGACCCCCGCCTCTCCCATCACCTCGGGTGCATTCGCGTCAGAAGTGTTGTGCGCTGTGACATCTGTCGCACTCCATGGTTTCACCGTCGGCATCCTGTGGACTTCCTCGTCGCCCTTTACCTTTGCCCGATGTATGCCCGCGATTTCTGCGAGTACCTAAAAGCATTTCCTCATACTGAGGTCCAGTAAGAGACGCTAGGAATGCTAGTATGCCTCTACCATGTAGTCGCCGACGCTTACCTTTGCCTTTGCTTCGACCCTCGCCTTGTCCTATCAATGACCGTCGTGCAATACGTCTTACCCTCCGGACTGGTTTCTTCATGAATCTCCGCCAACGACGCTCGTGATTTTGATAACCCAGAAATAACCATTGAGCTTGCTGCTCTTCGGTAAGGTATGTAGGCATATCAGAATAATCCAAGGCGGTAGTTTCATCATCGGAAGACGCATCCGCATCGGTTCCGGAGTCAGAGTCGGACTTGGCGGGTTGCCCCGCTGAGCCCATTAGGGTCATAGCTTGCATAAGGGAAGCCGCGTCGGGCGGTCCCCCAGATCTGGCACAGGGGCCTTGCGAACCCGAAGTCGTTCCACCTTTCTGAGCCAACAGTGTAGTGGTCTCAGTTGGCTGTGGATCATATTTCCACACGTTGTTGGCAGGTTGCCCTGCGTTGGCCTCTGCGTGGAAGGTCTCGGATCGGTGACCGCGGCTAAAGATACCACCAATATTGCAAGGGGTCCTCTCGGCTATGTGGGCATATGACCTCATACGTTCAAGTAGAGCGTCAAACTGCGATTGGTCCCTCGGCACGTGATGGCTCAGAGGCTGCAGGAGTTGTTGTGCACGCGATGTCCCCACTCCAAAAGCTCTGAATAGAATTACTGCTAAGATTTGGAAGTTTGGGATATTGAAGCCGGCGGTTTCAGCTTCGTAGCGGGCTATTTCGAGACGTGCTAACGTCTGGCCGATACGTTCACCCGCATGGACTCGAAAGTCAATGGGAGCCGTGCCAGAGTTAAGCTGGCGTTCCTTTTAGGTTTTCGAACTTTGCACTTCAGGGGGACATAATGTAGGTGGCGCCGTCGGTGTGGCGACCGCCTATATTGACGCCAAAATTAATGACTGCTGGGGGGGCTCTCATGGTTATAGTCCGCGCGAGACCTCCCGAACCTCGCTGCAATGCGGCGGCTTGCTGGGAGGGCGCCATGTTGCCTGTGGTCACATTGATCCAGGCATGTGCTTCGCGGACGAACTCGCGAAATGGTACTTGACCGGCAGGGTCCCAATGGGGGCCAATCGTTCTAGTGTCGTCTCCGCCCCGCATATGTCCTACCGCACACCCAATAGCGACCCATACGAGCCCAAAGATAGTAACCCAAATCCAGTGGCCTCGTGGGTCGTAGTCGGATGTAGTCGGTGGGGACTTCTGTTTAGTCGTCGTAAGTCTGCGTGGGGTCGGAGGCGGCAATATGTCGTATCGCATGTTTCCATGCATTATGTCTTCGAAGAAATCTTCAAATGGAGTAGGTGGGTGACCTTCAGGAGTGTTATAGCGCAGGGACGTGAGATGTGAGTGAGAGACCTCCGCTTGGACAGAGGTATCGCTGCAAGTTTCTTTGCGGCACTGCGTAACTGTATACATTCCTCCGCGCAATCCAACTGCACCCTGATGCTCCACCGTATCTGTAATCCACCAGATAGTGCCGTGGATGGCGAGGAGTAGAGCTAGAGCTGACCACCATAGGCCAGCTCCGCTACCAAGTTTGAAGGGGGCTGGAAGGCCCAGCCAACAGCTTCGCCTCAGGCGAAGCCAAGCTCCAGCTATGTTGTATCGTAGTAACGATAGTCCCAGTATGAGAGGAGATGCCATCTCAAGCAATTGGAAGATCCTTTTGGTCTCGATAGCGATTGTGTGCCTCGCAGTGAGGCACAATCAACTTTGGGCGGCCGGCCGCTTGAGCCGACGCGGCCGCGGGCGCACGCTCGCTTCCACTCCTTACGTCCCTCAGCTCGCTTTAGAATCAAGAGTGCTCCAAGGCGCCCAAGATGTTCCAAAGACGGCCCAAGAGGCTTCAACGGGGCCCCAAAAAACGCTCAAAGAGCACCCTAAGAGGGGCCCAAGAGGCCAACATTTGCGATGCTCCTTAGATTTTTGACAGATTCTGGCACGCTCATATCTCCAGCGGCCCCCGTTCAAAGTTCCGACGCTTCTTCACGACGGCCCCCAGGCCTCCCAACATAGCTCTTGCACACCCCACTATCCCAGAACAGGTTGCCAGCGGCAGGGGGCGAATCCCTTACGGATGATTATAAGTAATTCCTACTATTATTATTATTACTCTTCTCAGTAGTCACATTACTATCACTAATTATGAGTGTTACTATTCCTCGAACGGCTTCTCCCAGCCGCCATAGCTTTTCACCATCGACCACACGCTGGAGTGACCCTGGGTAAGAGTGATCGTTGGTGCGCTGCTTTTGGAGGCAGCGGGGGGGACCAAACACGAGCGCGCAAGACGCTACTCTCGCATCGCTTTCGGGATCGGGGGACCCCATTGGGCCCGCACCAAAGGTTACTCAGACAAAAAATCGCTCTTACGTCTTGTCGACACCCCCTCGCGTGGCGGCCCCAAGACGCCGGAGAGGAGGGGCCGCGACCCCCGTCCTCGCGGCCTCCCAGCCTCCTGCCTGCTACGCCTGAAATGTTTAAACATATATCATATATACATATAGATATATGTACACACATATCGTATGTATATATGTATATATACACCAGGAGGGGGGGGCGGTCGCAGGTCGAGGCGGCTCGAAGATATCGAGCAGTGGCAGATCGGCCTCACCCCCCGGGAAGAAGGAGGAGGGAGGATCAGGAGGAGGAGGAGGAGGGATATCAGGAGGGGGATCAGGAGGAGGATCAGGAGGAGGATCGGGAGGAGGATCAGGAGGATCAGAAGGATCGGGAGTAGGAGGCGGAGAGGAGCCGGGCAGGGTGCAAATGTCGCGGCGGCCTGAAGATCACGCGGTGGATGATCGGCTTCTTCCCCTTCACCGTCTGCAAACTTCTGGGCAAACCCACTCTGGAGGCCTGCGTCGCCACCTGCGGAGCGTCGGCCACCAAGCAAGCTGGCAGAGGCAGGCCTGAGCCAGATCGAATCGTGAAATCGGATCGGATCAGGAACGGATCGGATAGCCAAGGAATGGCCCGAATCGAATCGAAATCGGATCGCCGCGCTGACCCTGGCCGATGCCTGGGGCTCGAACCGAATCGAATTGAATCGAATCGGAATTGCGGTCCAAGCCGGCGAATCGAATCGCATCGAATCGGATCGTATGCGGCCCTGCCGAGGCGCCTAGAATGGACAGCCGCTAAGAAGCCATCCGGAAGGGAGGAGAGGGGTGGAGAGCGAGGGGAGGGGCTTAGCAGAACAAGAGCGAGGCAGAGGGGGATAGGAAGAAGGATGAAAAGGATTACAAGGACAAGGAGTACGGGGGAAGATGAGGATGAGGCGGATGACCCCCCAAAGGGCTCAGGACCGCCCTGACACAACTGCGCAGTACTCCAAAAGACGCCCGCCCGAAACGGCCACAAAAGCCACCAGGGGCGCCAAGCAAGATACGCCCAAGAGGCAGCGAGAGGCCGCAACGGCAGCAGCGAGTCACCACCCGTGTTCGCGGGCAGCCGCGGGATGCACCGGGGCCGAATGGGGCACAGTGGGCGCTGGAAAGAGGAGCGCGCGGAGTGGGAGGAGGATTAGGAGGAGGAGGAGGACGAGGAGGAGGAGGAGACGGAGGAGGAGGAGGAGGAGCAGGAGCAGGAGGAGGAGGAGGAGGGGGGGCAGGTTCAGAACGTGAAGTCCTTGAACGTGTTCGGTGGCGGCTCATGGGAGCCTTCCATGCCATCTTGCCGACTCTTGCGAATCGGCGCCGAGCGGCGCTAGTCGATCGCTAGTCGACGCTGACTCGACGCTCATCGACGCTAGCCGACGCTAAATCGGCGCTATCTCATCGACTCCCACACGCTACTCAACGTTAAAGACGGAATCAAGAGTAAGAGGGCATTTCAGTAAAAAAGAATGAGAGGGTATACCAGGCTCGCACGAATTGCTACCGAATTAAACGTGTGTGCCAAAGCACGGGCACCGCGAGGATTTGGAAGCCTGCCACAAGATGGTTCTAGCGCAGCGAGCCTCTTCGGGAGAGCTCGGTCGAGCCACCCAGCCCAAGACGGCCCGAAAGCGGTCCTGGAGGCCAGCAGGGGGCGGGGGCGTAAGACCACTGCTCTGCCGGGAGTATTCGGAAGAGATCGGGACAAACATCGCTGACAGAGCAGTGCGCAGAGGTCCCGCAGAACCGTGGCACAGAGAGCAGTACGAGCCGATCAAAAGACGTAGGTGGAAGCAAAATAGATTCGGGTCCGCCCGAAGAAGAACAATAACAACAAAAACAGATCGATGCCTGAAGTAGGAAGGCGCTTGAGTAGTTTGGGATCTGGATGTCCAAAACACATACTTTCGGCGACCGGCGTGTTATGGGCAGCAAGAGCCTCAACAGTAGAAGCATAGGTAACATCAGCAGTGTCTGCACGAGTAGCAGCAGCACGAACACCCATGGAATCACTAGCTGCAGAACGAGCGGTAGGACCACCAGTAGCTGCAGCAACACCAACGTAGAGGTTCAAGTGGAGCAACATCGGTGCTTTACAGAAAAAAGAGAACTCTGGAAGCCAACGGTTGTGTTGAAAGTCTGAGGCCCTTTAGCGAACCATCCACGAGAGCGTTCGCGCAACTACTATAAACGAGACGCAGCGAATGTTGCACCCACCGTCGCAGCGCGATGTCCACGAGGACCAACTTTTGTGGCAGGGGTGCTCGAGTACGAACGATGTTACCTTGCGTCATGGCGTAGGAGCTATATGTCTTTGAGGGTGCTCTGGGCTGCGGCCCCAATCGGGCGACTTGCTGCACAACGTCGTGACTTAAGCAACACGCATGCAGGCACAATCGACGTCATACTGAGCCTGGGAGGCCACAAGCGTTGCAATCCTTAGGTACTCCAATGTTGCCACGTAGCTTCCCTGGCGCTTCGGCCACGGATGGCTTCGGCCAGGCCTCAGAAGGAGGTCAGTCGGCCCGAGCGGGCCAAGGAGCCAAGGAGTGCCCAAGACCGCCGCACCCAGACTGCTCCACGACGGCCCAAACACTCGCCCCGATGCCCCCACGCAGGCTCTGCCAAGCCGATTCGGAAGAGCACGGTAGAACCATCGCGCCCAAGAGCGCCCTGGGGAGCCCTGAGATCCGACGTTGCGAACAGATGCGGCATCGTGAAAATCACTACCGAAGCCCTGGACCCCCATCTTTCCGCTACACTGTTCGGGTCGGATGGGCCTGCGATGGTTCTGGGGCCAGAAGCGGGTCGAAGACGCACGCTTGGAAAAAAAGCGACGCCCGGATCACCATCGCGCCTCAGGGCACGCTGGGACGCCGCGGAGGCACCCTGCAGCGTGAGGGCCTGCCAGTCCCATGATTATACCAGCCTGTTCGGTGAGAGCTCGGGAGGACCCATCCTGCGTGCACACTCGGTGGGTGCGCTGACACGGTCGGCTGGTAGGTCGCAGAACCGCTGCGCGTCTGGCACGGGTTGCAACGGCGTCTGGTGTACAGAGCGCTGGCGCTCGAGAAAGACGGGCAGCATCAGGCGACCATACGACTAAAAACAAATCGGACAGGGACGACCAAACCAAAAAGCTGTTTCTCGTCTGGATCCATGGCTGCAGCCTGGCGGACTCGACGGCGACGACGGCGACGAACCGATAAAATCTGTCGAACCGTCCACCTCCCAGTGTGGCGCTGCGACCCTCCACCAGAACTTCTTCACCGCACAGTAATTATAAGCTTGCACACCGCTTTGACTGCCTACTGTCGTACCTAGGACAGAAGAGCATCATTCAAGAACATGAGACCCCTCACCAGCAAAACTGAAGAACATTCGAGGGTGCCCTCCCCCAGGATGCACAAGAACACCGAACGAGTACGAAAAACATGAGGGTACCAGCTCCGAACCGACCTCGATCTTATACCTCGGTCCGACTGTATCTCGATCAGGGTGGGAGCTCGCCTTGACGCGACGGCGGCCCATCAACGTCCCGGCCAAAGCGGCCGCCGCGGCGACCATGCTGGCCGTACCTGCCGCGTCTCGGCTGGGGGTGCTGGCTCGCTCCCGCACCTCCTTAGAGCCTCTATCTGTGTCCACCGCTCCACCGTTCTTCCGTTCCCTTGTTTTCGTACGCACGTCCCCCTGCCCATTCGCTCTCCGCGCTCATATCCATCCGCTCTCCTCGCCCTTCTTTGCTTCATCGGACTCGCACTGATCCGCTCCCCTCCTACATCGGCGCGGCAAATTTCGACCACGGCCGCCACCACCACGACCACTAGATTTCCTGGATGTGTCCAAGTGTCCGTGAATGCGGCGGCCCCGACGCCGGACAAGCGGAAAAAGCATACCTTACAACAAACACACAGACAGAAAACTTGCTCGTTAAAAACCAGTATGCGGAAATAGCCGCAGCACAACTGGAAGCGACCATGGGCGAGACGAGAGCACTTAGCAGCACTTGCCACGAATGAATCGCTGCAGGGGCAGGGGATCGGCGATGGAGGAAAGGGAGAGGGGGAAGTGATTGACCAAAAAAACTCCTAACCTTTTGGGAGTGGACCTAAGCTAGGAGGGCCAGGAACATCAGGGATAGGGGACTTTTCTGCAATTGTATCAAACCAAACCGCCCAGAATTATGATCCTCAGTGAGACTACGTCTTCATCGGTTATTAGGGGTAGGGGTTCTTGTGTCCGAATGAAAAAGGAATGCGGGGCGAGGGGAGAGAGGAGGCGCGGGGGAGTCGCACGGAGAGAAGGGGGGGTCGTGGAGGGAGGGGGGGAGGAGGAGCTTCACAAACGCTACTGCTTGGATGCCAAGAGCCCGAGCAGCGCAGAGCTGGAGGCCTGGAAGGGGGCACCAATAATTACCAACACAGGGGGCTTCCCCCATCGGGGGAAGATGATCCTAGAAGAGGGAGCGCGACCGTCGCTGAACTGGAAAAAACTACCACCACCCCCCTCTAAGAAACGATCGGACGGGGGCAAAATGCCTCCCCCCCTCCCTGGGAACCGGGGGGGGGACCCCCATTGCCCCGAAACCCGGCGGGGAGGGAGAGCACAGAAGCCCCCCCCTCCCCCCAGTCCGAACCGGGACGAGGGAGGGGGGACCCCCCCTGCCCGGAAACCGGAAGGGGAAGAAGAAGCACAGCACCTCCCGTCACCCCCCCCCGTTCGAACCAGGGAGGGGGGCGAGACCAGCCCTGCTGAAATCCAAAGCGATGTTGAGCTTTGTTTGAGCTGTATGTGAGCTTTGCTTGAGTTTTACGTGAGCTTTGTCTGAGCTTTGTGTGGAGCTTTGCTTGAGCTCTACTTGAGCTTTGTTAGAGCTTTGTTTGAGCTGTGCGTAAGTTCAAGCTTTGCTTGAGATTAGTTTGAGCTTTGCGTAAGCTTTGTCTGAGCTTGTTGGAGCTTAGTTTGGGCTGTGGTTGAGCTTTGTTTGAGCTGTGCTTGAGCTTTGTTTGAGCTTTGTTTGAGCAATTTGTCGAAGCTGTGTGTGAGCTTGGTTTGAGATGTGTTGGAGCTTTGTCTGAGTTTTGCTGAGCTTCGTTGGAGCTTTGTTGGAGCTTTATGTGAGCTCTGTCTGAGCTTTGTTGGGTGATTTGATGGAGCTTTGTGGAAGCTTTGTTGGAGCTTTGTTGAAGCTATGTTGGAGCTTCATTTGAGCTGTATTTGAGTTTGGTTGAGCTTTGTGCAAAATTAATTGGGCTTCGTTTCAGCTGTGTGTGAGCTTTGTTGGAGCTTTGTGACATGTGTTGGAGCTTTGTTTGAGTTTGTTGGAGCTGTGTGTAAGCGTTGTTTGAGCTTTGTTTGAGCTTTGTTTGAGCTTTGTTGGAGCTTTGCTAGAGCTTAGTTGGAGCTTCGTTGGAGCTTTGCTGGGGCTTTGTTTGGCCTTTGTTGGAGCTTGGCTTGAGCTTTATGTGAGCTCTGTTTGAGCTGGATATGGACTTTGTTTGAACTCTGTTTAAGCTTTGTTGGACTTTGTTGAAGCTTTGCTGGAGCTTGTTTTTATTTGTTTGAGCTTTGTCTGACCCTTGTTAGAACTTTGTTTGAGCTTTGCTTGAGCTTTGCCTGAGCTTTGTTAGAGCTTTGTTGTAGCTTCGGCGGCGCTTTGTTGGAGCTTTGCTTGAGCTCTGTGTAAGCTTTGTTTCAGCTGTGTTTAAGCTTTGTTTCAGCGTTGTTGGAGCTCTGTTTGAGCTTCATCTGGACTTTGTTTGAGCTCTGTTTCAGCTTGGTTTTCTGTGAGCTTAGTTTGAGCTTTGTTTTCAGGTTCGAACTCTGGCCGGGAAGAGGGCCGTCCGCCCCCCTCCCCAGTCCCAACCGGGGGGGGGGGGCTCTCCCTCCCCGCCCCCGGTTCGAACTGGGGGAGGCAGGGATCGGCTCTCGATTCGGAGTGTGGGGCTGTTTGAACCCCCCCCGAGTTCGAACCGCGGGGGGTGGCTTGCCAGTAGCGGCAGAAAGCGCTTATTCCTCGATGCTGGAGTTGGTAATCATATTTCGGCCACTCAGAAAGCCCTAATATTACTAGCATCACCGAGATCGGGAGCATCTCCCCTCGGTGGAGGCACGCCGCCGGTGTTGGTGTTGGTGCCAACCTCCAGGCCTCAGAGACGAAGGGAAGAGCTTCAGAGGCGGCACCATACTCTGTGCCGCACCGCGGCGCCGAAACGCGCAACGGCCCACTGGCGGGCCGCACCGGCCAGGCTGCTGCTCCCTGGCCCAGGGGCGGCGTGCAGATCCACCCCGCTGGAGGCATACCCGTCCAACACGACCAGTCAGGCGAGGGCGCAAGCCGACTTCTGGGGCTCCTGAGCCCCCAGCGAAACAATGGCAGAAGAGAGGGCGTGGGATCATCCTGTGCTTTGATCCCTGGGGTGCCCAGATCCAGAATGCAGATCCACCCCGCTTCCCATCTCCTCCTCCTCGCCTCTCGGGGACGTCCAAGAGGGGGCGTCCAAGAGGGGGGTGCGCAAATCATGGCCCGAGGCATGTGCGCGGACCAGGAGAGACCAGGGAACGCATTGAAATCTGAGGAAACATCATGGCCCAGGCCATGATATCCAACCCCCACTAGTCAAGACCACCCTCTTGGCCGCCCCCGACCATCTCCTCCTCTTGGCGGTGCGCAAAAGGGGGTGGAGGGAGGGGGAGGGCTTATTAGAAGGAGGCTGTTTCTGAGAAGGCACCGGCCTTACATCTATAGATGAGGCCCGCGCCTTCTAAGAAGCAGGGGTGCTTCTGAGAAGCCCTCCCCCCTCCCCCCCTGAGTACGTGGCTGATCCTCCTCGCCTCCCTGAGATCTTCGGGTGTTGCTAGGAGCGCCCCTGGCCCAAGGTGCCCCAAGCTTTTCGCTCCATTTTGGAGCCCCTGGGGCCCTCTGGGCCTCGTGAGGGGTGCTCTGGAGGCCGTCTGGGCCACCCCGAGAATCCTGGGGGGGCACCCTGGGCCTTGGGCGCTTCTGGCACCACCCGAGGTTTGGGGGCACTCTTCTCCACACCGGGCCTGCTCGCCCTGCTTCGGGCCCCCAGGGCCGCCCGCCGGGCCCCGCTGCTGCTCGGGGAGTGCCGCGCAGGGAGGGGGTCCGGGGCTCGGATCGCGACGTCTTCGCGAGCGTTGCACTCTGTGCAACCACTGGGAGGTGTTCGTCGGAAGGACTCGGGAGACTGAAGCCCCATCTGGGGGGGCTGTGACGCGGGAGTGGGCCTCGGATGAAGCGGGAACAATTCGGATCAAGCAGGATCGAGCCGGATCAAGCGGGATTAAGCCGGACTAAACCGAACTTCGGACCAGGACAAAATCAGAATTAGACCTCCCAGGAGTTGCATCCGAAGGTTCCAAGGGCCCAAGGCACCCATTCGGCCCAATCCCTCAGGTTTCTGCATGATCTTGACATTATCGCCGCATCGCTCGCCCATGAGATCCCCAATACGAACCCAAGATGGCCGACGACCACCAAGAGGGACCCAAGAGGCCCCAAAAACGGCCCCGAAAGGGGCCCAATAAGCAAGCCACTGTTGCACCGCTGGAGGCATACCCTTGCAACATGATCCCAAGGCCCCACAGAGGCCCCCAAGAGACCTCAAGAAGGCCCAAGAGGCGCCAAAATGCCCCAAGACGCATCCAATATCCCCAACATGTTCCTAAAGCCTCTGAACACGACCTGGGCGCAGCGGCGGGATGGGCCGAGGACCCTCGGAGTTCCGCACTCGCGTTCAAAAGGCGCCAACTGCCCCTTATTCCTCTTGTGCCGAGACAGTTCACTTCTCAGAGTCGGCGGAACTGGCCGTGGGGCCTTTGCACTCTCCTGCGCTACTCCTCCTCCTCCTCCTCCTCCTCCTCCTCCTTCTGTTTCTCCAGCTTCTCCATTCAAGGCCAAATCCCCAACCCGCGGACGAGCGAACATCGGGCCCAGTTTAAAGGGAGCGACAGCGAGCCTGGGCGGAGTCGGGGCTGCTGGCCTCCCAGCAGCAACCCGACCCATCCCAGGCTCACGCCAGTCGATCTAGAGGAAAACTCCGACCAAAAAGCACTTTACTGGATGGGTCCTTCCCCTCGCGGAGCATCTTGAGGCTCCACGCTGCATCTTGGTTGCGTGGGTGGCCGACACACTTGGCAACTAAATGCTGCGATCTTCTGTTGCCAAAGGCACCGCATTTCGAACACCACGAGATCTGCCCACCCCCAATGTACAACCTGTGGGAGGGGTGGGCGGTTCGGGCCGCCTTAGGCAGCCCGACACACGGGAACTTACGAACTCCTACTCTGCTGCATGCCTTCCCGCAGCGCACCGCACACACTGGTACCTGTACCTGCCCCCTGGGAGGCGGGACCGAGCCAGCTGATGGCCAAGTTCATCGGGCACCAACTCGAGACCTCCAGGGCGCTGCCTTACCTTGGCTCGAACACTCTAGACATCTGGGAAGCGGAGACGGGAGAGGGTTTTCATAGTCTCGTGGATGACGCACACGCTGTTGGCGACGAGCTCAGCCTGCTGTGCGTACAACTGCTTGGCACGAGGGTTGTGGGGATGCAGAGCCACCCCTAACTTAGCAAGGCGGTCCGCCTCTCGATTGCCCGCCCAAACCCAGTACCTGAAACCGCGGTCGAGGGCAGCACGTCGAGACAGGTGGCACTTGACTTTAGTAAGGGTAATGTTGTGAATCCCTACGTCCCCTCCCCCAGCAAAGATTTCGCACCAAAGTTCGCTGTAAGCAACATTGGTGAGGTCCTGTGAGGGCCCCTTCTTCCAAATCTCGCAGACCATCTGGCAATCGGTGATAAACTCGGTAGGGCAACCTCCTACCAATCTCAAGGCTCCTCCTCGTCCGTCCTCCCCTCGTACTCGAGTGGAGCTCACGCCCGAGCTGCTCCTGTTATGTTTCATCTTCGGGGGACCTTCTCTGTCCCGTCGCGGCCTTATCCGTGTCGAATCCATGTCGGACTCGTCGGATCCGTGTCGAATCCGTGTCGAATCCGCGTCGAGTCCGCGCCAAATCCGCGTCGAGTCCGCATCGAGCCCGCGTCGGGCACAAGAAAAGACACCAATTCTGGGGACAGGCGAGGTCCCCCGAAGATGAAACGCGACTCCAGGCCATCCAGCGGATGGCGGGAGCAAGCCCGCTTCCGTCGCGCGCGGAAGCGTGCCGTGCTGGCCTCTGGCGTCTCCAGCTGCTGCCCGGGCTGGCTCTCAGGGAGGATGGGGTCTCCCTGTGCTTCTCGCGTTCTGTCATGCTTGCACGTACCATGGAGGCCGGTCCAAAGAACCATTCTATCAGAAACCCAACCCTGAGACCCCAGGACGTCCATGAATTCTTGGTGGGAACGTCGCGCTTTCAACGGCAAGATCATCCAAACACGAGAAACCTAGGGCACCCTGGAGGCAAGCAAGGTCTTAGCATGGGTCTCCACTGTAGTACTGTTCTCGTGACATCAGATTGAACTGCGTGTATACTCCCAGTGCGCCTCATGAGGTCTGAAGATATGAAGGTCCTCCCAGATCCAATCTAGCTAAGGCCTAGGCGCTCGGCTCAGCACGGCAGCCCGCTCTCGCCAGCATGGGCCTTCACATAATAATCACCCGCCATCGGCTGAAACTACATCTGATGACACTGGTAAATTTCGCCAGATCAAATGTTTTTATGTTTCCGAAGAGGTTTCCGCATGAGAAGGAGAAGAGGGGGTGACGGGGAGGAGGAGAAGGAAGAGGAAGAGGAGGAGGAAGAAACGGAGTCTTCTTCATTCTCATCCTCCTTCTGCTCACCCTCTTGATCCCCTTCCTTGCCACTCCCCTTCTTCCCTCTTGTGTTTGACGATGGCCAGACCTCGCGTGCAGTTGACGTTTCAGCTGGTGAGGTGATGCGGCAGTTTTTTGGGGTCCCAACTGCAATGTTCCTGTTGAGCACCAATCTGCGAGACCACGCTGTGCCACAGCTGATGGGCGCGCGTGTGATCAACGATTGACCTATACGAGGTACCATCTTTCCACCTGGGTGGCACCGCAACGGGCCGATGGCGAGCAAGCGTGGGTACGCGCGTGTGCGTGTGAGCTGGGCTCCCTTCCTCCTCCCCCGTGCACCGCGGCTGAATTCGCGTTTTGTGTGCCCCACTAATCCTTCACCGCCAGCGCAATCACTCTGCCTAGCAGCCGACGCAAAAAATGTGCGTGTGGGCGCGTGCGTCCGAGCAGCATGGCCCTGAGCCCCCGAGGTCACGCGCCTCTGTAAACAGAACTTGGACCCACACTCCCGAGGCCACGGCCCCCCCTGAAGAAACTCTGGGCCCTCGCCCCCTCGGGGCCACAACCCCTCAACAAAAACTACGGGCACGCGCCCCCGAGGACACGGATCCTTCGAAAAAAAACTGGACCCGCGCTCCTGGGGCCAAAACACTACTCGCACGGCAGGCGCGGATCCGCGCTCCGAGTCCGCCAGCCAAACAGCCTGCCAATCGGCCAGGCAGTCAGCTAAATACAGTGGAGGCAAGTCCACACGAAACCTTCCACAAGAAACCCAATCCTGAGACTCCAGGACGTCCATTGATTTTTGGTGTGGGAACGTCGCGCTTTCCAACACAAAACCATCGAAAACCAAGAAACCCAGGGCACCCTGGAGGCAAGCAGAGTGCTTCTTGGCATGGGCCCCACTGGAAGTGCCAACCTGCAAACCAAGCAGCCCATCGGCGAACCAACCCAGTCAGCGCAGCCGTGCGGAAGATCGGGGACGGGGGGGCCGCGGCGGTCGGAAGAGGAAGAGAAGAGAAGAGAAGAGAAGAGAAGAGAAGAGAAGAGAAGAGAAGAGAAGAGAAGAGAAGAGAAGAGAAGAGAAGAGAAGAGAAGAGAAGAGAGAGAAGAGGAGAAGAGAAGAGAAGAGAAGAGAAGAGAGAGAGGAGAGAGAAGATAGAGAGAGAGAGGAGAGAGAGACAGGGAGAGAGAGAGAGAGAGAAAA